AGAGAAGATATAGATAGATAGATTATAGATAGATAGATGTGGTGTGTGTGGTTGTGAGAGAGGCTGAGTGTACCAGGATCCCAAGAGGGTATTTGTGGAGATCATAGGCGCCATGCCTCATTGCCTACTTTGGGCCTGGAGGATCCAACAAGGCTGTTTAGAGGACCCTGGTTGGTCCCTGAGCCTATTTTTTTTTTTACAGTTGATAAGCAATCTTTGTATCAATTATGTTACACTAATAGAAACTTGGCACCCCTTTGTCCCCTGCCTGGATAAGCACAGAGTAAGCTGAACTGTCCCAAGGCAGAGATAGCACAGAACAATGGGGCCTCCAGCTGGAGCTGTGGACTTTTGTAAATACACTAAAACTGGGAAATTAAAGCTCTGCTTCTGGAAAGAGTGGTCTTTGAGTGGTGGGTGGAAGCCTGGGGCAGAGATCTGGATCCTGATGGGTGGATGGGAAAACCCTGAGCTAGGGCCAGGTACCCCGTCACCATGAAGCCAAATGACAGGAGTAGCCTGTGCTCATTCTGTTACTCACCCCCACCCCCAGGTTCTTCTCAGCCTCATCTAGCACTAACTGGACGGTCATTTTTATGCACAACTTTATGTGGGGCTCAGGTGTCTATGGTACATAAATGTACAGCTCTTGATCCCCAGAGTTTTCAGAGCAGGAAGCACAGGGTGCTTGGGCCAGGCTTCTTAGTGGGGGGCGTGAGCCTTGAGGTAGAGTCCGGGGGGTGGGGGTGGTGACCAGCACTCTTGGGAGAGATTTCCTCAGGGAGCAATGCCAAAAGTTCTGAGTGTTCCTCAGGCTTCTCTGAAAAGAAAGGAGGTTGGTATTAGGTAAAAGCAGATGGGGGTGGGTGGGGGTGGACAGTGAGGCTAAGGGCCCTTCCCTGCCATGGCCCCTGCTCTGGTACTGCCCTCCTATACTGACTTGTTCCCCACAGACCTCCTACTCTGACCCCTGACACACACACACACACACACACACACACACACGCTGCATACTGGCCTTCCCCGCTGCTCCCTCCCATGCCACCTTTCCCTTCGGCACTTACGATGTGGACAGGGGGGTGTCCAGCTGTATAATTTGGGGCCCACGCATCCTTTGCAGTTGGACCCAAGTCAGCTTCCGAGGCCTGCTGTCCCCAGGCTCAGGGATGTCCTCAATCCTTTGGCTGGCCAGCTCTTCCCGGATCTCTCTGAGCTTGTCCTCAGTCCCGAGGGGGCGGGGAGAGGGGGTGCGACGGGGTCTCAGGAAGAGGGGTCTCTCTTCCTCTTCTTCTGAGGATGCCCGAGAGCTTTCCCCAGCAGAGTCAGCATGGGTAAGGAAGTGGGGGAACTGCACCCGAAGTTGGGCCCTATGCAAGGTTTCCACTACCACGTTCCCTCCCATTGAGGTCCCATCTTCTTCCTCAGACCAGGCAGGTGGCTCTCCCCTGGGAAGACTGCCTCCTCTTTGTATAGTTTCCCCTGGCAGGTCAGGGGCACTTCGGCGATGGGGAGCTTGAGGGCCAGGAGGCTGGTGGCGCAAAGTAACATCTCGAAGGTCCAGGGTGGAGAAGGTGAAGTGGGGGTCCTGTCGAAGGGCCCATGGGCGTAGAAGTCTCCGTGGGGAGTGGGACCCCTTGGGGGAGACTGGGATCAGAGTGCCATAGCCAGAGTCTGAAGTATCATCTGGTACCAAGGGAGCATCTTCATCTGTGTCTTCTGTTACCACCAGATGGGGGATAATGGTGGACAACTCAGGAGTCCTACAAATATACAGTGAATGGTCAGAGTCAGATGCTAAGGGTTCAAGTTCAAGTCCAAGAAGTGTCCCTAGATCACTCCATTCAGAAATGGCCCCTCCAAACTTATTTCAGTATCACCTTTATATTGCACTGTTTTTCTCATGTCTGGTTGGACTGTAAACTCCTCTAAGACACTTGAACCATAGCACTTGTTCCAGGACCTTTATCAAGTAGGTACTCAGGTCTTTTCTGTGGGGTTCCTGAACTCCCATGAGCTGACCCCCAGTGATGGATCTTTTTTTTCTCCTTAACCATGCTGCTGAACAGCTGTGTTATTCAGGATGAACCTGTCATGCTCTCTGGGGATTTGGACTGGTCCCTGCAGCCCCGACATTCTGCAAACCAATGCTGGCCTTCACTCTCCAACCCTAGCTTGGGGAGCCTGCTCCTTTCAGGGAGTTAATGCCTCTTGTGTCCATTTCCTTCAGCCTGTGCCAATCCTAGGCTGGCTAATCCCCTAAACTGTCCCAGGAGGACTTTGGCACAGCTGGTGCCAACCTGTAGTCTGAGTTCGTCAGTCTATTCCCAATTTCCCTGGACGCTGTCGTGCCATTACTCAGCCTTGTGGGTTCTCTCCCTCCCTGTCTGCAGCCCCCTTACTATGGGAGAGCTTGTGGTCCCTATGGGTCTTACCTCCCCTCTGTGCTGCTCTGAGAGCCCTCCTGGGAAGGTGTGGAGGGCCTGGTGCCCTGGGACTCCCGGTTCTGATCCTGGTCCCTGTAGAGGGCCAGCAGCTTCCTCTTCTGTTGGACGTACTCCTCTTCCTTCAGCTTTTGCAGAGCGACCTGGGGTGGGGATACTTTCATTAAGACCCTCAATTATTGAGCACTTGATGTATGCCAGGCACTGAGTTACGAGCCTTACATAAATGATCTTTACTCTTCACAACAACCCCATGAGGCAGATATTTTTTTATTCCTACATTACTGCTGAGACATGGAGACTCTGGGGTTTGTAACTGCTAAGGTCATGCAGTAAGAAAGTGAGACAGAACCAGCATTGGAACCCTTGAGCTGGTCCTGGGGGTGGGTGGGCTGAGCATAAGACCCCTTTTCCTACCTTCCTGTTTCTCCTGCCCCCTGGCAAACTCTCTATTCAGGCTGTTGCCTCCTTCAAGAAGCCCTCCCTGATTGGTGGTGATGATGGTATAAGTGCTGGGCCCAGCAGGCTAATCTTCCTCCTGCTACCAGGGTGGGCAGGGACAGGCTTTGTCCTGGGCTGAGGACTCTGCTGTCTTTCAGAGATGAAAGCCAGACTGTTCGATGAGGGTTGGAGAGAGGATACATTACATTTTCTGTCTTCCCCCCTCAACATTTACCTACAGGTGACATCAGAATAAAATAGTGATTCAGGAAGTGGTTTATAGTGCACCTCCACATGTACACCGTCACCCGGCAGGGTGGAAACCATGGATATTAGCCCATTTTACAGATGAGAAAAAAACCTCAAGAGATGAAAGGACTTGCTCAAGGTCACACAGGTAGGGGGAGGCAGAACTGGGACTGGGTCTTTCCCTGTGAGTCCTAAAGCAGTAACTGCATTGTTTTCAAGGGCAGTCTGAAAGGGTATAGAGTTACTAGAGGATAACACTTACTGGGGGAGGAGGAGGGGAAGGGAAGCCAGCACAACCACTGAGAGGCTGAAGGCAGAGTCTTCGCAAATGAGGGATGGTGGCTGCTGTGGACAGCACTGATACCAGTGCTCACTGGATGGCCGAATTGTCCTTAAAATATTGAAGTACTTTCATGCTGGTAAGCAAAGGGCTGCTGTCTGAGCTTCCCGCCTCAGTTCCCCAGGACTACCCTGCCTCCCAAGACCCAGCAGCTGGAGGGATAGCAACTGGCACAGCAGGGGACCTCTGGGACACCCCACCACCGTCACCAATGCTCCACTCTTGATTGGTTGATGCCTATGCCATATTGGTTGTTAAATATTTTGAATATCTCCCTGCTTGAGGTATATGAACCAGCAATCCTTGGGCACCTGGACCTCCCTAAAAGCTTCTTCAGAAACACAGAGAGTAGTCAGGTCAACACAAGAGACATGTTAGAGAAATGGTAAACAAGGAGAGAGAAATGACATCAATGACACAGGCTTCTATTTCCAATTCTCCTTGCTCTGGTTCTACAGTCACTCGATCTCATGAGGCACAAAGCATTGCAAGGACTCTTAGCAGTCTCCTAAGACTTGGTCTGTTGGCCAGAGCAAGGGACGATGATGCCTGGGGGCAGGAAACCAGCACACCAGACCAGGGCCTGTGACCTCTCCTTGTCCCGGAACCTCATCTCCCAGTTGTGTGGAGTGTGGGAGGGGTCAGTCTTGGGGCCTGGGGCGGGGCTGGGGCAGCCTGCCTGTCCAGTCGGATGCAGGGTCCTTTTGCCCCACATGACCCAAGTTCAATTTTGTGTTTGGAATGTCCAGGATACGGATGGTTTGTGGAAGAAAAGAACTAGGACTCTGTGTGTGTGTGTGTGTGTGTGTGTGTGTGTGTGTGTGTGTGTGTGTGTGTGTGTGTAAGGAACATCCAATACCAGCATCTCTATTAAACTTGCCCTTGGCCCTGGAAGAAGCTGGGAGGTGGGGACCTCAGGCACCAGGGCTTAGGGTTGGGCTGTTTGTAGTGCTTCCAGCCACCTCAAAGCCTCTCCAGCAACCCTGGGAGCATTTTCTCAGTTTCGGCAAGAGGAGAGACAAGTTGGGCAGGGTGGGAAAGGAAGAGGAAATTGGTGCCTGAGCCAGAAAGTGACACCCCCACAAAGATGGAGGAAAGGAAGGGAGGGCTCCCTTAGCACGACTCTTCCTCCTTTGCCCTGGTGGAGATCTGAAGCCTTGAGAGGAAACCTCTCTTGCTGCCTCTGGGGCGGCTCCCAGGTTCACTGGCTCTCCTTCCAAAGTCCCCACATGCTGAGGCATTTCCCCAGTCAGCATCAGGCCCGCACAGGCACCACTGACCACCCTTCTCATGATGACAATAACAAGCATTTACGGAGCTCCCATTAAGTGCTGGGCCTCAGGCCAAGCAATTTACAAACATAATCCTCCCATCTATGTGCATGGCAGTTCTCGTTATCACTGCAATTCCCCAGATGGGGACTGGGTTTAGAGACATGAAGTAATGCTGGCAAGAACACAGATGAGGACAGCTGGACTGGCTCCTCCCCTCCTTTCATTTCTCAGCCTTCGTCTCTGACCGCTCTTTCTGTTCCCATCACTGGTGTCCTTTCCGTTTACCAGCCTCTAAATATGGGCGTTTCCTAAGATTTGCTCTCTCTTCCCTTGAGAAGATCCTTTTCAATAAAAGCTTAAGCCACCCCGGGTAGACCCGCTAGGAACGAATCTGCATCTACATTTCTGTAAGGGGGAGAAAAAAATCGTCTGACTCCTGGGGGGTTGCTCTCTTCAAGGCCCGGTAGATAGATATTCTACTGCCCTCTTCCGTTTCCAAAGACTAATGGTGATACAGAGCAGGATTCCCAAAGAATTTGGTGTGAGATAATAATAGCGGGACAAATTAACTTCAAAGCTTTAATTCTTTGTTTTGCCAGGGGAGGCTGAGAGCCTGTGCACTGCTTGGTTAGGTATCAGGAGCAACCTCCTTTCTTCTATTAGCCAGGAGGGAGTCTAGGGGTGTGTGTTGGGGGGTGTGGGTAGGGATGTGTGTGGGTGGGCTAAGCTATTTGCATAATAAAATACCAGCAATTTTTAGTAGTCCCCTGGGGGTCCTAAAAGGAGGTGGGAGGAGGGATGTCGTCCTGGGACTGGGAACAAAAGGAAAAGGAGAAAGTTCTGATGGTGGACATGGTAATGATAAGAGGCTGCCTGCCAGTAAGGGCTCCCCACTGCTGTCCTGGGGAAGATAGAGCTTGTTTCCAGTTTTGTTTCTTGCTCCCCTCTTACCCAGCCTTCAGTACAACTCAGCTAACCACTCGAGTGGTGTCAGCTGCCAGCCAGTTTGGCCTTGTGGACACTGTGGGCTGGGGAGAGTGGTGTAGAGAGGTCTCTGCCACGTAGAGAGAGGGGACTATGAGCGGAGCTGAAGATGGGAGACTACTCTCACCACAAAACTCACCCCCACCCCCTACCCTTGTCCCCTTCTTGCTTCCTGGGGACTGTCACCATCCTGTTTAGGTATTCAAGGAAGTGGCAGCCCCACAGGGCTGGAGGACAAATGATCTTGAGGTTTAGTCTTTCATCCTTATTTTCATTCTTCATTTTTTAAAGGCAAAAACCTTATATTTGTTTTTTACTCTCCTAATTCAGAATTTTTAATACAGTATTTAGACAGAAACTAAGCTCTGGTTATCCTTTTCTCAAATGAGCTCTCCATGTTATATGAGATGAGACTGTGGGAAGAATGCTTAAAATTATTTAAAGAACAACACTATTTTCACACATTCTTAAAAGTTTCAGAAGCCCTAATTGCCTAAGGTGCTAATGACAAATCATTACCTATTCATTAGGGCAAGCCCTATGCGAACCACTAATTTGATTTAAACTAAAAATAATGTAGTTGCATTCTTTAGAAATAGTCTACACTAAGATTTCTTTCCTCGTTCAAAATGCTTTTTCCTTTTTTTCTTTTTAAAAATAGAGGTATAATTGACATATAACATGATATTAGTTTCAGGTATATAAGGTAATGACTCAATATATGCATATATTATGAAAATCACCATAATAAATCTAGTTAACATCCGTCACCATACATTGTTACAAAAATTTTTTTCCTGTGATAAGAGCTTTTAAGATCTACTCTCTTAACAACTTCTATAGTTCATCCTCATTTTTCAACGGGACTCCAGAGTCTGTTTCCATATTTCCATAAGCCCCATAAGCTCCAGGGTCTGTGTATTCACATCTCCGCTTGGCTATCTCGATCACTGATGCATTTCCAAAGTACTTCTGTTGAAAACTAAATATTGCTACCTTAGGAAATAATCCGTCCCAGGAAACAACAACTAAACAAACAGGTTTTCCTTTCTAATGATTTCGTTTCTGTCAGGGGCACCACTGCCAAATCAATCTTTCAAACGGGACCCTCAGGAAACAAATCATCCTTTGTTCATCTGGACCTGACACAGAGCGTTTACATAGAGCTGGCACTATGCTGTGTGCTTAATCTGAATAATCTTTGAATCTTCCCTATGAGGCAAGGACTATTACTATTTATATCCACTTGCAGGTGAAGAAATGGAAGCTCGGGAAGCCACATAACTCACCAAGATCACCCAGGAAGTAAGAGGCAGGACTGGTATCTGAGCCTAGATTTTCATGCATTTAGTGTAGGCTTTTAACCAGTCTCCCTAAGGCTCACCTGTCTCTTCCTTTGCTTGGTCCTTCTTCCTTTCCTTTTTTCTTTCTCTCCCCAGCTCCCAACCTTCCTTCCGTTCTTCCCTCACTCCCTCCCTCCTTCCTTTTTTTTGCAACATGTCCCTAATGCCAAGGCACTAAACCTCAATGTTTCACACCCATCAATCTCCTGTCACCCATCAATCTTCCCTTCCCCTAGACCACCTATCATTGTTACCTGACAATTCAAGACAAAACACTGATTTCACCATTGCATTCCCTTGGTCAAGGATCTCTTTCAACCCAATTCAGTTCAGTCTCTTCTGCAGCTCTTGGGGACCTGTAGGACCTGGCTTCTCATCACTAGCTCACATAAACCTTTTGTTCCAAACTCAGACCGACATGGTCCCAGAACAAATCCAGCCCAAGTGCTCCCTGGATTTTACTACTCATGGTCTTTCCAGTCCTTAGAAGTCCAACTTAAATCCTCATTCTTCTTTGGTCATTCTTCTGCAGTGGGTTTAACAGTGGCCCCAGAAAGCTATGTCTAGGTCCTAACTCCCAGGACCTGTGAATGTGATCTTATTTGGAAAAAGGGTGCAAAGATCCTAAATTAAGGATCTCAAGATGAGATGATTTTGGATTTAGGGTGGGTTCTAAATCTAATGATTGGTGTCTTTATAAGAGACAGGAGAGGTAGATCTGGACACAGAGACAGAGAGGATGACTGTGAGAAGACAGGTAGAGAGGGAGCGGAGTCCTGTGCCACAAGCCGAGGAACACCTGGGAGCTGGAAGAGGCAAGGGAGGATTCTCTCCTGGAGTCTTGGTAAGGAAGCGTGGCCCTGCTGACACCTTGATTTCTAAATTCTGGCCTCCAGAGCTGGGAGAGAATACGTTTCTGTTGCCTTAAGCCACCCAGTTTGTGGTGACAATACAGCTCCGTTTGGCTCTCTCTTCTAAACTCCTTTAGGTTTAATCACAGAAATCTGCCCACTCACTCCTCTGCTTAACACCTTTGCTGTCCTGTCATCTGAAGGACAAAGTTCAAGTGCCTTACGTGGCATCCAGAGATGGGCATGCTGGTGGTGCCTGCCTCCCAGCCTCTCTGTCACCATGACTACCCTGTGCTTTATGTCCTAGTGATAATGAACTAGGCCGGTCTTCTCTCAACACACACAACGGTTTCCTGTCTCCGACCCTTGCACATTCTGCTTCTCCATTTGAAATACGTTGCCCTCCCACCCTTGTCACCCTGATGTACTCCTAGACATTCTTTGAAACTGCTCAGACAAGAGCTCCTCTTTGAAGGCTTCTCAGCATACCCTCCCTCTGCATTGTCTCTTTCCCAGCCAGCCCGCCAGACAAAACAAATTTACTCCCTCCCGGTCCCAGTTCCATTCCACAGACATGTTTCTATATTCATACAATAACTTGTCTAGCTACTAGCTAGGCTGCAGTGCACATTTCTTGAGAATAGGAACGGTATTTTACTCCTTTCTGATTCTCCAGCACCTAGCTAGTGCCTGCAACCAGCAAGGGCCCCATTAATATCTGTCGAATGGAGGATGAAGTTCAGAAGTGAATTGCTTCAGGGTGTAGAAGCCTTTAGGGGATGCCGTCTTGGGTTCTCCCAGTGACTGGCACAGCAGCTGGCTCAAGGCTCGTCCTTGCTCTTAGGGATGATCAGGCTGCGTCTCCCTCCTGAAGGCAACCTGCATTCACTCCAGCCTGTCTTTCCTCCTCCTCTCCTCTGTCCCCCGTTTTCTGAGCTCCAGGGACCCCTGCCATCCCTCCCCCTGCCTGGCTCTCACATACCTGGGCCTTATGGGTCTTCTCCAGCCACCGGGTACAGTCTGTCGCAGTGGGACAGTGCACAATGAGAGCACTGGAGACGCACTGGAATTCAGTGAGGTAGATCACCAGGAAGCTGCCTGGGGGGAGGAGAAGGTCTGCTTCAAGGGCCAGACCTTGTCTGAACCCCATCCCAAATCCTCTTTCCCCTTGTCAAGAGGAAAGGAGAAGGAAAAGATCCCTGTAGAAAAGACATACTAGGGTCTCGAAGTGATCGGCACACAATCTTCTCCAGCATGAAGGGGGGGCGGATAACCTTGGCTTTGTCCGTCTTGCGTTGGGGCTTTGTCACCAGGAGCACGTCAGTGAAGAGGAACAGGTACGCGTCCAGCTGGAGGTGTGCAGAGGAGAAAGAGGCAGGGTCAGCTGGAGCAGGGGGAATGGTGGGACAGGAATGTGGGCTCATGTGTGGGTGTGCACATGTGGGTGCACATGTGCACAGGGACAAGTGCAGAGCTGTGGAATGCTAGAGCTAGAAGCAGCGTCAGCTTGGTCCCTTCCCTCACTTTATAAGCAGGGAAAGCGTCTGACCCAGGGTCATACAAACAATCAGAGCTTAGCCAGAACCGTGTCCTCGTCACAAAACACACAGAGACATCACACACACACACACACACACACACACACACACACACACACACACACACACACACACACACCCCTTTGTCTCATTTCCAGCTTTTCTGACTTATCCTGTCTCCCATCATCTCTCCCTTCTCTTCAATCCATCTCTCATCTCCAGAAAAGCCCACAGCTCCCTCACCTTCCCTTCTCGGCCCTCTTTCACTCGCACAGATCCCTCCAGCAGCAGCTGCCTGGTGTGCTCAGGAGCAACCCCCAGCATGGGGGACATCAGGTCCAGGCTGGAGAATGGACTCAGGTTCTGAGGGACAAAGAGAGGAGAGGGTCAGGGGACTGGGTAGGCCTTGTGTCTACCTCCCAGCCGCATTCTTTGTTCTGTCACTGGCACCATCTCTATCCGTCCTCCCCTTGGAGGGAGAGGAAGTGTTTCAGGGCCCCTTTCTACTCTTTTGACCTCTGCCCCCAGGACCCTTACCACTGGGAGGGAATAATGGGCACACCCTGCTGTGGCACCGCTGCCCCTCCCCGCCAGGCCTCTGCTTCATTCATTTCCCCGGGGACCTTGCCTTTTCTGAGCCCGCTTTCTTCTCTCACCTTCTCCATCTCCTCGCTGGATGGCTCCAGCACCTCGTAGGGCCCAATGCGCTGGGCTGCAGCCACCAAGCTCTCCTGATCTTCACCCTGGCGGACCTGCTTATTGATGTGTTGTAGGAATGACTCCACAGCTGCAATCTAGGTGAGGACAGGGTGTGGAAGGAGGAGCATCTCAGCTCCACACGCTGGACATCCCATCCAATCAATGACAACCACAGTGTTCCAACACAGGCCGGCCAGTCAGTGCCACACTGTCATGTACACATGAGAGGACACCCTCAAGAGGTCTGGAGAGCAATTCCCAGACACCAGCCCCCAATCCCAAGGGTACTGGCCCTGCCAGGCCACCTACCATGGAGCTCAAGGCCTTGTGGGCTCGTGTCTCAGTGCTCCTCTTGCGCACAGCCTGCAGCAGCAGTGGGTACTTGGTGATGCGCTGCTGCGGCTTGATGAGTAAGTCACCCAGCATCTGCCTCCCCGAGCGCTTGTGTTTCTCACACCACTGCCAGGGAAGGTGGACATGGGGTGAGCAGCCTGCAAGCTCCCTCCTGTCCCACCCTAGTGATAGACTCAGCCTTGGGCTCAGCTAGAGATAGCGAGGGACCTAGTTGTCTAGGGTCTGCCCCTCCCCCTTCTCCAGCACCCTTTCTCCCACCTGCACGAAGGTACGGAAGAGAGGGTTATTGTCTTGCTGCTCCCGGGCGTAAGCCATGGTCTGCTTCACTCTCAGGCAATACTGGACATAGGGCTGGAACCGCTGGCTGATCTGGAGGGACAGATATGGGGGTGCGGAGAACAGGCAGGGGAAGATGGTCATGAGATACAAGCTTCAGCTACAGAACACGGGGAGTGGGGGTGGGGTGGGAGGGTGGAGATAGCCTCTCATAGACCCTTAGTCCAGCTGCTGGCTAACCCTACCTCCCATGATGGCCAGCCACTCTGTCTGGATTCCAAGGAGGAGTTGAGGCTGAGAGGTCCACCCACTGCTGCTCTCTGAGCTCCTGTCCACAGCCCCTGCTGTGCCCTGCTGTTCTGAACTTACTCCTTCCATCAATAATTCAGCTGGAACGTTTTTTAGGACACTGCAGGTTCCATTTCACCGGGCAGAGGGGTGGTGACCTGAGGCTTGCTCAGGAGCCCTGTCCTATGGAAAGGGCTCACCGAAGGCTCCCGGGAGACTGTCTCACCACCTCTCTACCCCATTCCAACTCTACAAGGCCCACATCTTCCTGGCTGGATCACACCGGGGAAGAAATTCTGATTCTGGGCCTCTCGCTTTCTCTTGTCTCGCTTTTCCTTGCTCCAGGTGCCCCTGTGGCCTTTATATCTCCTTTCTCAGTCCCCTTGGCTTCCTCACACAGGCCCCATTCTTGCTCCCAGCTATTTGTCAATGGATGTCTGTCCAAGAAGTAAGATTTTATAGCTGATAAGAGCTTAGGTGCAACCTTTCCCTGAGACAGCTGCATTTTTGTCATAAAGGTCTCCAGAAGCCCAAAAAGCCTTTGGGACAGAGGTCATACTTGTGGAGTGAAGGGCAGGAGGTGATGTGATATATTGGGGTATAGGCTATGTCCTTGGAGCCCCTCAAGTCATAGAAGGATTCTAGTTGCATAGGCACACCCTGCACACACGACCCCTCTGGGCTTTCCTAGTCCCGCCTCATTTGCCCTTTGCCATGCCTCACCGCCAGAAAGCCATCTTGCAGGCTGACAGGGTCCAGAGGTTGTCCTGAGGCCCGAGTCTCCCCCAGGGCAGGCCCCAGCACCTCTTCCCAAAAGCTCTGGTGAGTTCGAATCAGGCTGGGGACATTTCCAAACAGGGTTTCAGCTGACACCTGGAGGGAGAACTTAGTAGTATGTCTTGGCAGGTCACTGTCAGGCAGCATTGGTCATGGACAGAGAGGACGGCTAAGTTTGGATGGCAGGGGTGGACGGGGGTGGAGTAGAACCTGTGGTCTAGAGCAAGAAGGAGAGTAGAGGGGCAGGGGGTGTCCTAGAAAATGGGGCAGTGGAAATTCAGACTGGGCAGCCTGGAGGGTTGTCTGTGATAAACACATCCAAAACTACCCCCACCCCCACCCCACCCAACACACACACACACACACACACACACACACACACACACACACACACACTCCCTGGACTCAGAGTTTGGGATGTACCAGGCTCCCCTCCTGAGCTTCCACTCACTTCTGTCAGTAGCCCCACTCGCTGCAAGTTCAGCAAACCCGCGGCTAGGAGCTAGATGCAAGGAGAGATGAGGGTCTCAGCACTTGACCTTGTCCTGTCGGGACCCCAGCCTAGCCCTTCAATGCAGCCCCACTCCCCAACTTTAGTACTACTACCCTCTCTCCCAAGATCCTGGGAAGGTCTCAAATCAGGGGGATCTCTTGGTATGCTGTCCCTCCCTCTCCCAGCAACTCTTCCCCTTTTTGATATGGGAGGATTGGGGGAAATACAAGTGAGATGACAATATGGCTGAGGATGGGGCCAGGGCTGGGGCTGAGGGCGGCTCACATCAGTCATGATCTTCAGCTTTCGTATGTAGATAAGCTCGGTGGTCAGTAGCTCCCACAGTGCTTCCTGTTGGTGGCAAAGCTCCCGGCTCATCTCCTGGGAGTGGGGTAGGGCTGCTTCAGTTGGGGAGCGATGACAAGAACAGTGGCTACCATATGTTAAATGCTACTGGATCTACTTCATAGATGACCTTTTAATCCCCAAATCAATCTGCCAGTGTGTAGGTGGTGTTACCCCCACTTTACAGATGAGGTGGCTGAGGCTCAGAGAGGTTTGCTGTCTTGACCAAGGTCTCACTAGTAAGTGATGGAGTTGGGATTTGAACCTAGAGCAAGATGTTTCCAAACACTTTCCCCACTTGACTCTACTTCCTGAGGCCTTTTCCTTGGGAAGAAGCAGAGGTGAGGTATGTATGTGAGTCTGTAAACCCCTGGGGACAGACACGGTGTTACAGGCCCACCTTGTGCCCAGGCACCAGCTCCTTCCAGGACTTCTCAATGGTCAGGCCACTGTCGCTGCCTTTTCCTATTTCCCAGCGCTGCCGATCCTCAGGGGGCAGGCGGGGCATCCCAAACATGCTGAATGTATGCAGCCTCTTCTCCAGCTCGTGGGCCTTGGTGACTTCCTGGTGGAACTGAGAACGAGATCAGTCCTGGCCACAGCCTGGGCACCAAGCCCAATTGGTTCAGGGAGGGTTGTGTGCGTGTTTGTGTGTGTGGGAGGGTGGGGGTGGGGGGAGCACTGACACGAAAGCCTGGACACGAAAGCCTGGGTGACAGGGGATTACACGGGAAAAGGCATTGCTGGAATGTGGACGGGTAGGCACTTTGGTCTGCAGAAAGGTCCCTGGACAGTAGGGTCTGACATGGGCTCCCCGACCAGAAAGGTGCTTTCCAGGGATCTTCTGAGACAGAGCCCTTCAGAGGGACCTTCAGGTGGAGACCAGAACAGGATTTAGGGAACCAGTCAGTGGTCTCAGGCAGCATTTCGACATTTGTCCATAATGTGCACATTTATGAGGCAGCAAGACTTAGGGATGTATTCCCAAGAGGACCTCCAGACAGAGCTGAATCCGGCTTCTTGGAGGGGTTGCCTGTACTCTCAGCTCTGATCCTCTATGGAGGACATCACAGCTCAGGCCGTGAGCATGGGGGTGGAGGAGAGGAGCCTCTTCTTACCTTTAGTTTGGGGGAGTGAGGTGGGGCAGCCCCCAAATAGACTCCATGCCTCTTCTCAGGCTCTGGTTCTCGAAGCCGTGTGGGAGACAGGCCTCGGGTCTGGCCAGAACCCTTGGCAAAGGGGATATAGACCTGGAGGCGTAGACGACTGGCGTCCTGGGGAAGGAGCAGGGGAAGTTCTGTGGGGGGTGCCTCCCTCCCCCCAAAAGTCCTAGGGAGGTATTAGGGGCCAGGCTTCACCCCAGATGGCATCCCACACCCCTGCAAGTCGAGCTGACTCATTCCTTCCCTCAAACCAGTTTGGTGTGAGCCGCTCCTGCCCTGAGTCACAGTGGCTGCTGCCACAGCGGCCAAGTGAGTTGGGCAGGGACATGCCAAGCTGGCTCCCTGAGTGGGCCTGGGGGCAGAAGCAGGGGCCTCCTAAAGAGCAGGCACACAGGTACGCACTCGCACAGGTACGCACTCGCACAGGTACGCACACGCCTGGGCTCTGGTGTCTGTCCCCCCCATGTCTGCCCACTCACGTGTGTGCCTCTGTATCACAGGCTTGCACACCCAGCTCATGGTGCACACTACATCTGGGTTCCTCACAGCTTCCCTGGTTTGTGAACAGCCTCCCTTGTGTGTGGGGATGAGAGCACATACATGTGTGGCTCCCCCTTACAGGCATGCAGCCTGTGTCCCATCCAGTGGGGAGCGGCCGCCCTTCCGTGTGAGAGGTTGAGGCCATGGCCACAATTCTCCTCCTGGACAGGCCTGGTCACATTCCTTGATCTGCCTGTGGCCTGATTTGCTCCTTAGACTTCCTAGTCTCCCTCTCCTCCCTCAGCCTGGGAGAGTTCCCAGCTGTCCTCCCAGTCTCCCTGGGCAAAATTTTCCTCCAGTAGGGCTGGGGATACCCCTAACCAGAAGCAGAACTGTTCTCAAGGTGGAGGGAAGTCTTGAGGCTGAGAGAAAGACCGCTGGCTTCCACACCCCTTTCCTTGGTCAGCATTGGAGGCAGGCCAGGAGGGTGGAGCTGGGGTGGAGCCCCCCCCCCCACCCCTCCTCACTTGCAGAGTGGGGATACTCTGAACCTTTGCTCTTCTCCCAGCCCTGACTCAGAGGGAGCCCACAGGCTCCTCCCAAGTAGAGGTGGGAGTCTGGGAAGTGCCAGCCCCGAGGCTTAGCGAAGCTCCCCAGCTCCCTGCCTCAGACCTGTTGAACAGCACCTCCTCTGAGGGCCTGGCTTCTCCTGGCTCTCTGCCTTGCATGTCCCATCTGTCTGAGATGGGTGTGGAGTCCTGGGAGTCTGGCCCAGCACTGCCTTCCTCTCTCTCTCAACCAGGAAAGAAGGTAGGGTGAGGGATAGGAATAGAACAGCCCATGATCCTGTAAAAGGCAGAGACTTGAAGCCTGGGTGTCCTCCCTCCTGCCCCACCCAGGTCACCTTTGGGGCACAGCCTGGACTCACCAGCATGGGGCTTCCTCGGGGATAGAGACTGTCAGCAGTGCTCTGGGCAGAGGTCTGATGCCGATGCCGGCCCCTATAAGTCTCATTGTAGGACTCTACGAGTCCTCGGAGGGGACCCTCATCTGGAGGACCAAAGGCCTTCATCCCTTCTTTCCTGGTCACCTCCGAAGGGTCATAGCTCCAAGGTCCAGGAGAAAGGGGTCCCCTAAGGCTGCAAAGAGAAAATGAAGGAATGAAAGGGTAGCACTAGGCCTGAGACCAAGGTGGTAGGGGTGGTGAGGGAAGGAGGGTAAAGGGTAAAGGGCTTGATTACTTGTTGGGGGAGCATGGCTGCCTCATCTATGACTTGGTGGGGGTGGGGAATGCCCCCACATGCTGGGTAGAAAGCCTCTTGGAGCTATACCTCCTCTGGCACATATGCACACATTCAGGGCACAAGCTCCCACACTGGTCTCTGAATGATGCTGTAGTCCGAAGAGCAGCTGGGAACAAGGGTGACAGACAGGTCCCAGCTTCCTGGGTGCCCCCAGGCAGGCGGGGATGTGGGGATTCCCCTTGCACCTAGTTATTCCCTCCCCTTCCCACACACAGCCATGGGGGGGGGGAGGCATGAGACTGCCCAGACCTGCCATCTGTTTTTGTACAGCCTGCAAGCTAAGCATGCTTTTTACATGTTTAAATAGTTGGAAAAAATTTTTTAAAAATACTCTCTCATTACACATGAAATTTATATAAAATTCATATTTCAGTGTCCATAAATAAAGTTTTATCGGAACACAGCTATATTTACTGTTTATCGCTGGTCTATGACTGCTTTCCAGCTAGCTCTGACAGAGATGGAATAGGTTTCAAAGCCTAAAATATTTGCTCTCTGGCCCTTTACTGAAAAGTTTCCCCACCCCTTACCTGGACCCTTCTGGCCACAAAGAGGTGAGGGAGGAACAGCTATCAGGCGGTTGGCCTTAGAGATGAGCAGAATGGAAGCAGTGTCTCTCTGGTCTTGGGCTACATTTGGGCTTCCCCAGCTTCTGGGGACACTTCCACGGAACTGGGGGCCAGGTGTGGGGCTTCATCCCTTCCCCTTCCACCAGGATAGAGGACCCACACCTTTTGAGTGGGCAGGGCCTGGAGAGGAGAGGCCTGTTGAGCAGGTGCTGGTCCCCCTCCAAGTGGGCCTGATGCCCCTGATCCGCCCTCCTTTTATTTTTTCTCTGATTTGCAAGCAGGGGGACAGAGGTCATTGTCTCCCAGGCCCCCTCTCAGTACTCTCTGCAAGGCCTGTGTCTCCCCCTGTCTCTCTCTCTTCCTGTCCACAGTTTTTTTTTTTTTTTTGAGCTTAGACCTGGCCTCTCTGCGTCTCTCGCCCCCCGNTTTTTTTCGTGACAGCGCTGATGCCTGAGTGCAAAACGGGAAGCGCTAGATAAAGCTGAGTGACGTTCCCACTGGCCCCCGCCCCGCCCCCCTCTGCTCACCTGTGCCTGCAGGTATCCGGGCGCCCGCCGCCCGCGTTGTCGGCCGCAGCCCGCGGGGCTTTCGCTCGCCGACGGCTCCCGCAGCGATGCCAGCCCGGCTGCCCCGCCTGGGTCTGGGACCGAGCGGCCCGCAGGACCCGGGCAGCGCAGCGCAGGGCAGCGTATGGAAGGTGGCGGGAGAAGGGCGGGGACGCGCGGAGGTACCGCCCTCTCACCGCGGGCACCCGACCTGCCGCGTAGTGCGGGCGCCCGTGGGGCCTTGGGGACTAAGGGACCCCTGTTCTGGACGCAGACGCCACCCTACCCCGCAAGAAGAGCGAGCTCTCTTCGCACGGCTCTGGTTCTCCTCTTTTCTTTGGACCTGAGCTCACCACGCACCCGGCCCGGGCGTAAGAGCTGGAGCCGCGCGCCACCCCGGCGCACTCCCATCTCAGCCAGACCCCCCCGCGAGGTGCCAGAGTAATGAGGCATAAACACAAGGCTGGGCGCGCTGGGGGTGATCTGCGACAGCCATCACCTTGCTTTCTGGGTGCAGTGAGTGGCCGGCCATCCCCTCCTCCCCCTGCCTCGTCTTCCTCCTTTAACCAGGCAGGGGTGCAGGAAGGCTGCAGAACGGCGTATGGACCCAGGGATTCCCGGGCCCTCAGGGGGCTCTTTGGCTTGGAGTCCAAAGTGTGACCCTTATCTCTCACCTGCCCTGGCCATCTGTGGAAGGCTGGACTTTGCCTGTGCCCCAGGGATGGCCTCTGATGCCAGGCCCCTGAGGTAACAGTTCTCACAGTTACCTGAGACTGGGGTGAAAGGACAGGAGCATCAGATGGGGGCACCCTCATACTTCATGGCAAACAGGCACACTCCAGGTTTCACAAGGGCTGTCCCAGCACCTACAGCAGTTACTGAAACTTGCTGGGCATAACATGAAAAGACCACATTTTCACATCCCTAAGTCATGACACATTGTTGGACAGAAGTGCTGGATATTGGGCATCGGAAGTGTCCATGGATGTGTGGTCATTATAATCTTACAGCCATCAAGCCAAAGACTCTGTAGTAGGGGTGGGGGCATGTCCGAGTGCCCTTCCTCCTGCAAACGAGCTATGCAAGGACTGATTCAACTTCTTACATTTGTAAAGTATTCTGAAATTTACAAAACACTTTCAAAAGCATAATCTCATTGTATCATTAGGGGAAAGGTCTCCACTCTCCTCTCCTGTCTGACGTATTAAACACATAAATGATCTGAAGTGTTCTAGTCCTAAACTCTGACTCTGATGACCCTATTTTGTTTGGGAGAGGAATCTTTATCATTTGATGGTTTCTAATTTCATCTGCCTCCCATGTGCTTTTTTTCTGAATTTGCTGTTATGTGAGTGCTCCGTTGGTTCAGAAGAGTTCTTTGTACCTTTAGCCCCTGCATCCTAGGGTTTTAGGGCAGGAAATGCAGTGGAGAGAAGCCCTTTTATTGTCCCATTCACATGAGAGAGAAAGAGAAAGAGAGAGAGAGAGAGAGAGAGAGAGAGAGAGAGAGATCCAGGGATGACAAGAGTAGCTATGAGGGAAAGAGAGCTAATAATAAACCAGGAGGTGGTGATTACTGGCAGTATTAAATGACACCCCAGAGAGAGCTGGTGCCAAGGGCCCCTAGCTTCTCCTCCCAATGTCTCCCAGAAGGAGGAATAAGAGGGAAATTGAAATTGAGGGAACACCAGCAACAAGCCTAGACTCACTGTGCTCCGGGGTGAGCTGCTAGACTGACCCAGAGGACACTGAGAGAGTTAACCCTTTAACTTCCCTCAAGGCTGGGATCCAGTCTCCACCTGCCACTGCCCCAGGGCCTGTCTTCAGCCTCTCTGGGAGGGGAGGTTCCCAGGAATGCCAGAGCCTAAAGCTGGAGGTGTGGCAGGGCACCCCTGTGGGTGGGAGGTGGGACTCCTCTGTTCTAATTGTCCTATTCTGGCTTCTTGTCCCATCGTTGCTCTCACAGCCGCCATTTCCCCTAGCCCTTTCTGTGCTGTCAAGAGAAGACACGTGTGGCAGGCTGAGGGGAACACAACTGAGAGGGCTGAATGAATGAAACCTGAAGAGTTGGGAGGTTGGAGGGTTGGCCCCTGCTGGATGGCTCTGGGGAGCACCTGGCCCTTGGCCCAGAGATGGGACTTGGATACTTGCCTTTCTTCCTGGCTGGCCCCAGACTTTCCTCACATTTCTAGCTCGAGTCCTACCTTTCCTCCATTCCTCAGTTTCTCACTTAATGTAGATACCTCTCATCAGGCCCCCAGCTAACCCCACAGCTGATGAGAAGGTGTCTGTCCAAGATCAGAGCTCTGGGGATCAAAAGCCTCTATCTGATACATCATGAGGGTACCTTTTTGGGGCTGACATATGGGGCCCCAAGTCTCTTTTCCCTTCCCTCACAGGCAGGAAGGTCACGGAGACTCACTTGAGCCCTGAGCTCAGCCCATTCCATACTTCTCAGGGCAGAGCTGAGTCATCTAGGTTAATGAGGTGCCAGCAGGTGCTAACAGAGGTGGCTGATGGGAGGGGTGTCCTCCTTGGCCCAGAGTGGGGTAGAGGAGGGGAAGCTGAGGACTCAGTCTGGGAGGCTCCAGGTCATGTGAGGCAGATAAAACCGGGAGTCCAGGCCCCTGGCACAGCTGCCAGTCTTAGACCAGAACTGATGCCCTCTCTTCCTTTTCTTCGTTCGTCCTCTCCCCCCGCTTCCTTCCACACTTATTGGCAGTGTTCATCTGTGCGAGGTACTAGGAGTACTCGTATATAGAATATATATTCCCAGTATGAGAAATAGTTCTATTTCTAGAATAAGAGACAGTCTCTGATCTCCAGGAGATTACAGACTAATGGGGAGACAGACAAATGGGGACCAGAACACAGATACATGTTAAATTATACATATAAGGAATGAACCAAGAGCTGTGGGAGCACTTAGGAGGGATTAATAACTACATAAGGAAGCCAGGAAGCCTTCATAGACGAGGTGAACTTTGGGCTAGGGCTTTAAGGATGATTAGGGGTTTGCTGGGCAGAGCAGGAGGAAAGGGCATTTCTGGAGGACGGAGCAGCATGAGCAAAGACACCAAGATGTGGAGGAGCACTGTTAAAAAGAAAAGGGGAAGGGGCAGGCTTTCTCCAAGGCTTCCTGAGGACATTCCATCCTCCAAGCAGCTGATCCCTGGGTGTCACCTTAGGAGGACATCCTCTTCCTAGCATTCAAAGGCCTTTACAATATGACCCCAATTATACTTCCTGCCTTTAACCTGCCACTCCCCTACTCTACCCCTGGACATGTCCCCATTCTCTGAATCTGTCGAGCTTTCTTAATTCCATGTCCATGCTCAAGTACTTCCCCTCAGCTAGCATAATGTCCTTGATACCTTGTCCTCCCATCTACACTTGCTCCTCTTTCAAGGTCCTTCCCAAGGACTGCTCCCTTCAGGAAACTTTTCCTGATGAGACCCCAACCGGAGTGATCACTTTCCTCCCTGTTTTCAGCTGCCTGGGTTTCTTTCAAAGGCACCACTTTTATTCTGCTCAATACTGTTGCTATTTGCATATATATCCATGTCCCTCACTATACTCCAAGCGCCTTGAGGGCAGGGACCAGCCCTTAGCAGGGCCTGGCACAGGACTGGCATTCAGCGTTTGTGGAATTGAGCTGCATTGACTTGCTAGAATCAGATAGAATCGACATTTAGGTAGACTCTGTCATCTCTCTACCCTGCCTTTGTTTTTCAGACATCTGGAATTCTTCCATAACTTCCCTTTGGCATTCCTGGTTCATTATTGTAGCTTCAGCATTTTTTCGGCGCGCCTGCTAAAGGTTTCTGACCCTTTAGGACAAACGTGCCATGTAAGTTTTACGTTCCATGTCAATTCTGATGGATTAGTAGTGGTTTCCTTAGACTATTATGGTAAGAAGAATTCTGTGGATTATTGAAGGGGGAGCCCAGAAGAAAGCGCTAAGATGGCTTAGTGACGCCTGCCTTGCGGGGAGGAGGGCTCCCTTTGCCCTAGTGTGAAGAGGTTAGTCTATCAGATACTTTTCTTGCCTGAAGCCAAGACTGGGACACCAGGAGGGCACGAGACCGTTGCCTCTGGTGGAAGCTTAGGGGGAAAGTGAGTGGAAGAGGAGGTGAGGCTCCAAAGATAGATTTACCGTCTTGGGATGTCCTGAGACAGAGCTTGGAGTCAGGTGTCTGAATGTGCAGGTCTGTGCTCTGACATGATCAGTCCTCAGGAGGGTGTGGTATCTTAGCCAGGCCAATAGGGCCTTTGTGGCCTGGGATCCCTGACAGGCTCCTTAGCAGGTGAGGCGAAGGTGATGACAGTGAGTCCCCCACCTGTGGGAATGTTCCCCACTCCTCTCTCCTCCCACGCAGCGCAGGCCTTCAAGAATGGCAAGAATGTAACAAAAGTGAATCATCTCCAGAGGTGTTTTATTTCATGTCTGTCTGTCTACTTTTGCCGCATTGCACCTAGGAATTATGGTCTCCCCTAGTGGCAGCCCCTAGAAATGCAACTTGGTTTCTGGAGGCTGGAGTGGACAGGCACCCAAGCCCTGGCCTTTCCCAGTTGAAATAGGACCCATATGGTCTTGTAATTCAACATCCCTTCCTGTGCAGAAATGCTGGTTGATGTCCTCGGCAGATGACCCCTGCCTCTGCCTGATAACCTCCAGCAATTCTGCTCCCAGGGTCTGTGCCTTTGTTCAGGTGGCTCTGATCAGTGAAAGTGTGGTTACTTCCTCGAAGCCCCTTAGCTACAAATAGTCATTTGCTTTCCTCCCTCAGGTTTGTACTGAAACTGGAATGTCTCTACCTCCCCTGCCTGAGGGGGACCAAAAGTACATGTAATTAAGAAGTTTAAGGCTCGGGGTCAGTTTTCAAAGTTAGAACAGCCTCACTCTCCACCATGGTCAACTAACTGCTACTAGGTCTATAACCCCTGTCACTTAGTCCAGGGTCACATCCAGCCCTTGCTCATGGCATGTGTATTTGGTGGGTGACTGTCTCAGCCCATCTCATTATGACACATCTTG